ATATATTTAAGTATCAGACTGAACTCATCCTTACACACATACCAGCAGAAATCTGCTGCTTTTCCGCTCCACTGTCTTGGTGAGGGCATCACTATTGCCTAGTCCGTAAGACCAGACACCTAGAGGTCAACCTTCTTTCCTTGCCTACCTCATCCTGTTCTGCTCTCAGAAGTCGTGCATCCTCTTGACTCAGTGTCCTAAGTAGCTTTCACATCCATCCCCTTCCGCCTGTCTGCTTTGCTGCAGCTCCACTTAAAGCCTTCATGTCTTGATTTGCTTACCTGTGTAAGAGATTTATAACACACTCAGCATTCGACCGTTTTTAAGTGTATGCCTCACTGCATTTAGTACTTCCACACTGTTGTGCTCATCAGATTTTTTTAGTATGGAGTCCTCTCGTCTTCTTATGTGTAGGTTAAGCTGGACTTCCATCCCATCGCTGCATTGTTGTCAGTGGGATCTTTCTAAAATGCAAATGACTCACAAGATGAATGGGAGCCCTTTCATTGCTTCCCACTGTTTGCATTGGTGGTTTCATTACAAAGTTTGTTTAGAACCAAGCTGAACTGAGAAAAAGAAATGCAGTGTCCCAAACTTTTCTAAATTTTTCCAGCATTAAGTCTTAAGTGGATGGATGATAAAAACCAAGACAGTTAAATACAGAAATATGCATGGGAGATGAGGCAGGCTTGTTTTAGACATGCAGAGTACTGTAAGCGTGTGGTATATAGAAGAAGAGATGTTTTGAAAGCAGTTGGATATGTGAGTCTAAATATCAGAAGACAATTTTCAGATACAGGCCTTAACTTAAAAGTAGAGTGAAAGGAGAAAGTAGTATATTTTGAGGAATATGTTAAAAATGTAATGAAAAGATGATAAACTATACCAGTATTTTCTTAGTGATAAAAGAAAAAAATTCACTTGTCTTCTCATCCTCTGCTATAATTAAAAAAGAGCAGGATCTTTCATACTAACAATCTCCCTTACATGGAGTAGTTTTAGTGGCTTTGGAAGGATGTTGGAAGGGCGATTGTTATCTATCTCCCTTGGATTTCCCTGGTTCCTTCTGGAGGAGATTCTAAAAGCTAAACATGCTTGATGGAGCCACTTCATTGCCTGGATCATACAAAGGGTTTTTCTGAAAAGAAGATTATGTAGCCTATAAGAGTTCTCCCATTATTACACTGATAAACATAAAAATTATTTTCAAAAAAGTGGAATATGTGAGAAATTTACTTTGGTGCAATTCAGTTGATGCTGAGGAATTTGTTCTATTTTCATTCTTTTTCATTGTTTTCCATTCTTCTTCAATAAAATTATCTAGCTCATAAGAGCAGTTCAGACCCCCAAAAAATCAGAAGTAATCCTTAAAGGGCTCAGTACTTTTTTATGCAGTGTAGCACTGGAGAGATAAGGGATATAGTGGTTAAACCTTGCATTATGTCCCAGCTGCAAAATCCATTAATTGTACGGCTTTTTTAAATTAACCTCTGCATGCTTCGGTTTTTGTTGCTGACGGTAATATCTACTTCATAGAGTTACACTGAAAATTGAAAATGTATATAAAGGACTTCTCGTTCCTGGCACACAGAAAATACTCATTAAGCATTATTTGTATTTCAGAATATTTCATGATATATATTAAGAGTGAAAAATAAGAGCAAACTACTCAGGAAACATGTTTAGGAGCTCGTGGTTTATCTACTTGATGGAAAACTATGCATTTCACTATAATGCAAATATATAATGACTAACATAGAAAATATGAAAATATAGAAGTTTATTCCTTATGTTACCTTTTAGGTTTTGAAGCAAGTACACAGCTGATGTAAAAATGTTGGTGCTTATTGTAAATGTGCAATACATAGTAAGAATTTAATACTTCATTTTATGGATATTTTATGTTCCTATTAACTACATATTGAATAATACAGTAAGAACCTTCTGACAATACAGCAAGACCAGTGAGATGCCATGTATGTCCTACATAAAGGCCAGGAAAGCAAAACACATATGCTTTGAGTGTAAGTGCTGTGTGTGTATGGAAAGCACTGTTGTAGTATGCAGACTGGCTTGGGTGTAATAATGGAAGTAACACTTTTTCTGTAGAGTTCTATTGGTACTTTCATTGTAGTTCACATAGGGATTTATTTCTGTTGCTATTTTTTATTATGTACACCAAAAAACAATGTTGAAAATTTTGATGCTTTTTTATAAACAATAAATGTTAGATAATCAAAAAAGAAAATATTCATTGAAAAAATAGGATTTCTACCTAAAATATACCTGTAAATTTAGTTTTCAAGTTGACACATAAAACATCATAGTAAGTAATAGATTACAACTATTTAATATTTAATAACTGCACAGTGCCATGAAGTTACTTGCTTATCATGCATTCTTACTAAAATAGCAAGAGAAATATGCCAACAAATACTGTTCTAACTTCACTTAAGAACTGAATAAAAACTTTTAATGATAATACTACAGCAGATAATCAATTAATCTGTAAGCTGTAGGTCACTGGTAGTGCAAACCTTAATGGAAACAGCTCTGAACTAGAAAGGAGGAAACCAGGGCCACGTTCGTCACTGTTTCACCTCAGAACCTTGTATAAGTGTTTGCACTATTTTACCTCAGAACTTTGTGTAAGTGCTTTAATTTCTTCATATTGAAAATGAAGAAATCCTAGTCCTCACTTTAAGTCTTTTCTTACTTCATGAAGCCCTTGGGAAGACATCATTGAGTAATATGTTCGGTGAGGTCCAAAATGGTTTAAGGATATTATTGACTTGGGCAGTAAAGAATAGCTTCCAGGCAAAGTCTGCAAGGTGCTTCAATAGACACATACTTCTGCCTTCCTGTTGGCATAGCCTCTGTTTGGCAGGTGGATTCCATCCCGTATAGAAAGGAATAGGTGTTTCATAAGTCAATAAGATTTGCAAAGCTAAGTAATTGAAATCTTCCTCATTTCAAAGATCAAATTTTCATAAATCATCCAACCTGGATAAACTGAGAATGTGGTTGATCTAGCAATTCTTGAAATATAGTAGAGGCATTGCAAAACATGATATTTAAGTATTTCCTCCTAACCTCTTACTTTAGCAAGACAGGAGTTATAAATGGAAAGATGTCCTAATGTATAAAAAAGAAATAAAAGTAAAATGAACCTATCTATAAAGAAGTGCAATACAGATTCATAGGACTTATCATTGATTTAGCATTCCATTGATTCTGAATTTGTAGCAATAGTAATGAAAACTACACAAAGCAGAATTTACCTTTGTATTATGAAGAAGATTATTAATAGGGTAAGTGGTATTATTGAGGGATGTATTTAACCAACTTGAAAGCAACATTTTCTGGTAATGGCTTTTCAAGATTGCAACTGGAAACAGTTTGTTACCAATTTAAGTTAAATCAGAATTTAACGGGAAATTAACAACATAAATTTATACTATATAAAATTCACATTAAAATTTTACCCCCCTCCATAATTCAAGTTAATAAAACTTTGTGTAAAAGAATTCAATATTCCCATGGATCGTACTAATATAAATGGTACTAGTTTTTACCACTATAGAAAGCTTGACTAGCACAGGTTAACCTGTGAATGCAATGAATTTTCTTATGAATCTTCTAGTTCATATATTCATGCCTCCACACTGTTTTTGTAGATATATAATAGTAAGATTTGGCAAGATACACCTTTTTATTCTAAGATTATTGCTACATTTCTTAAAAGATTTTGTTTCATTTTCCTGTTTTCTGTTAACAGAATCCTTGCTACATGCAGTTTTTGCCAGTAACCTTGAGCTGGTTTTTAGAGTTGTGTGCAGTTAGCTCGTCCATTCCTTCCTGAAGCTCCCCAGTAGTCTAAACGCGTGTGTATGACACTGAGGGTGCCCTCATTCCTTTGGTGTCTAGCTCTGTGCTGTGTTTATTTGCAAAGGACTCTCATGCATGGATCCATATAAATGAGGGAAACTGGAGCAGACTAGACTGCCGCTCACCAGTCTTTGAGGAGGGAAGGTTGTGTATATGAGAACTCCTGGGCGTGATTTTCACTTGGAAGGAAGGTTTGTCTGTGTGTAACATCAAGAGAGACTTTCTGTTGAGGTTTTATGCTTGCTATACGGAAAATGAAAGAAGAAAGCCAGTTAATAATCTGATTCTATCACCTTTTGTTAAGTAAAACTGTCCCTGATCCACATGAATGTGCTCTCCCACACATAGAGTAGCCTAAGAACACTGTGGAACAAACTTCTGAACTTTTGACTCTATCAAGGGTTTTACTTTACTAAAAAAAATTTTTTCTTTGAAAATAAAACTTTTATAGTAATTCCTAACTTGTACTACTCAGAAATAGAAAGGTTTTGTAAATGTAGTATAGAATGTTGGTTTATATTAGCGTCCAATTATTGGTATACATGTAAATTATTATAATGTTACTAGAACATGAATTTTTTCCCACCTAGTCCCTATTTTCAGTTTCATTAGCTGACTCTGAAAACGGGTAAAATTAAGTGCATAAGTGGTTCAACACACGAGCGATGTGTCACTTATTTACCTATGTAACAAGTGTGATTACTAATATTTCTGTATTGAAATATGTGCTTCTCTTATGAAAAAGAGCAGTTTGAAGTTGATCTGCACTTAGCGTGCTGTTTTCTTATTGCACTGTAAATGGTTCATTCACAATCTTTGTGCAAGTAGGTAAATGATTTAAATGAGTGTCCTGTGTTATTTTGTGTAGCACTTAACATTGATGTAATCTGAGTTACAGTTTGCGTTGTTGCTGTTTTGTAAAGCCCAGATCCTTGCATATGCTGTGTGAGTGTCTCTCGTTTACAGTACTGCTTTGTTTCTTAACGTGACTACCCACACTGCTTGGTCCCGGGCAAATACTGTCCTTTTTCTGCCAAAACATTCCTGACAGTAATCGCACTTTTCTCCCCCCACCCCCCACCCTGTCTTCCTGCTCCCTTTTCCCAATTTAGGTTGGAGAGGCTGGTGGACGTCCTGAGGAAAAAGGTTGGAACAGGGACCATGAGGACAGTGATCTGACTGCAAAAACGACAATCTGGGGGAAGCGATCACATCTGGTGACCAGGCTGCTTCATTCAACACTGTGTAAACACTAAAAGCCTTAACTTAGCAAACAGTTGTTAGAAGTGGGACACTCCAACCACATTCCAAGCTGAGATAAAATCAAATCACAAATGTTTAACCACTTTGCTGCTGACTTGAGTTATTTATCCAAATATATTAACTTTTTACCAATGGGTAGCTATAAGGTTGCAGTTTGTTTTATAACTATTTTGTATCTCAGTATGTTTAGTATAAATCTTGGTACTGTAAGGCCACTGTAGATATATAGTACAGTTGGTCAGGATAATATCTTCACATATGGTCCTTTCTGAAACTAAGTACAGCAAAGTAAATATTGTCTAAGCCTTAATCCACTGTGTTAGGTCAAAACTTCAAATAAATGCAATTTCCAATATAGAGTATATTTCTTAGTTGATGAGAAAGGTTCAGACACGAGAGTGTGTAGTCTTCCTTAATATGAGTATGTAATCTTTCTTAGTTAAAGGCTATTAAGTATAGATGCCATCAATGAAATGTATAATTTGCTTTAATAAGAGTTTAGTACGGTAAAATTACATTCATAGAGTCATGATTTTCATTTCACTTGAAAATAATGCAGACTGTTTTCAATAAAAGGAGAAGGTTGTTAATGTGCACTTATAAATTCATATTGTCAGTATTTTTGTAATGTTGAGCCTGGGTGATTATCTAAGCTCCACTTAAGATGAAGAAATTGCCAAGTTTCTGTCAAATAGTCTGGGACACTTAGGGCTTGGAAGTTAGCATGTGCCAGTACGTCTGTATCCTAAAAAGCAAGAAGTCATCAAATTTGCTCATTGTTCTTATTTATTATCTTTTTTATAGATTTGAATTTTTGTTGTGGAGGAAGAGAATACAATGTATAATGTACCATAAAACTGTAATTTACAATATAAGGACATAAGAAAAAGTACACCTGCAATTTGGCTCAGGTTACCTAGTTTTTTTATTTTACTTAAGAGGTAACTTTAAATAGTTAAAGCATATAATGATATGAATAAAACTGAGATGTTATATATTTTGCTATACAAAAATTCCTCCCTTTGTTAGGTGGATTATGTGAGAGGCCAGTAGACAATGACTATGCCTGGAGCAAGTTGAAATAGACAAGCAGAGATTGAATTAGTGAAAATGTGTAGCCAAATGAAAATTTTGTAACTCTGTGCATTTTTAGTTGATCTTTAAGGTTACACTAAGTTATCTACTACTGCTTATTTTCAGGATAAATGTCTAAGGACACTTTATTATATTATTCTTTGGTATAGCATGACAAAGTATCTCGTTTTTTACTTTGCAGGAAAATTTGAGGTGTTTGTCACAAGTGACAAAAGACACACATTCATACATGCTTTTTCTTCCTTATTAAATCTGTATCCACTGAACTGACTGGCAGTTAGAATCATCTCTTTGCATCCAAATTTGGAATTTATTCACGTTGCCTGCTTTTACAAATTTTTTTTTAAATGTGAGATTTAGAAAATAAGGAACAACAGGGGTTAAAAAAAAACTAACTGGATTTGCTTTCTAATCCTTTAGATTAGCTTCTTGTACATCAATGATAGTGTCAATATAGAAATTTATAATACCTTGGTCATGCATGGAGTCTTGTCTCGGAGCTATAACCCACAACAGCTCCCTGTGTGCAGACACAGTTCCTTTTAAACCTTCCCGAAGATGGAGGTAAGTAAAGAAAAACAGTTCCTATTACAAAATAGTCCATTTCGTGGGCTGGGGATATAGCTCAGTGTCACAGCTCCTGCCTGGCAAGCACAAGGTCCTGAGTTTGATTCCCAATACCAAAAAAAAAAAAAAAAATAGTCCATTTCGGAGCCCGTTAAAATAAATCACAAGTAGACTCGAATTTTCAGTTTAGTCTTGAAGAACAGACAAACTTCCCTTGAGTTTTGTCTAGGATTCTGGAACACACAAAGAACAATATAAAAACACTTTACAATTTCCAAACCTCTCTTGCTACACCTAACTGATCAGATGAGAGCAACTGAATCATGTAATCATGTAATTCATGTAATCAATATGGAAAAGTTTTATAGAATATGATATTATAAAATAAATCTTATAATTCTGATATGCAACATTCTTCAGTATAGTTAATTTCCCAAAATATATCCCATCTTCTTGAACATGAGTTGCCTATAAAATTACAAATGGAAACTATTACAGCCATATATTGACTTAATTGATTTCTTCACAAAATGTCTACCAGCAGTATTTCAAATACTGGAGTCTTTATTTTTTTTTTGTATGAAGAAATAACCTCACTGAAAATCAGTTAGCTCCACATTCAGTAACAGTGCAGATTCAGAAGCGATCTTCGCTCAGTGGTAACGCTTTGAGTTTGCTTTAAACGTCAGCGAGTCTCATTCCTGCAGTATGAGAAATCCTGGAGTAACATGAGAATCCATTTCTTGTAAAGAAAAATTAAGTAGTTCAGAGGAAAGACACAAAAGGTAGTACTAACATCTTTAACAATTGATTTACAAAACTGTTTCATATCTTTAAAAATTTGATCCTATCAACGACCATATAATGGTAATAAAATAAACCATTATGTAAACCATATAATAGTAATTTTGAGGATTTTAGTATTAGTGTTATTATTCTTATTACATGTATTTTGTAGATGGAAACAGACTCAGAGCATCTTAGAACTTGCCAAGGCCTGGCTAGAATTAGAACTAAATTCTTATAACTACACTCCATGAAACTGTAAGTCTCCAAACTGTTCTGTAAGAAAAAAAAAATATTGAACACTTTAACTCTTACAATTTCTGTTATTATTATGCCATTCATATTATATGCATATATGCAAATCACCAATCTAAAGACTACACATTAATTACCACAAAGTGCAATAATGTGTGCCGCATCTATACATACTGGCCCATCATCCCCAGCTCTACAGTCTATGCCTCAGCCTTCACTACAATATGACCTTGAGTTGCTTTGAGCTATTTTTAATTTTGCCTACTGCTAAAACCTGACAGTGTAGCTTTATAAAATGGTAGTCTAATTTTCAAGGCTCACTTTACCTCCCAGAGCAACTTTCACAGATTTTTTTAAAAAAAGTTAAAAGTCACACTATTGGCCTTTTTTTTTTTTTTTTCCTGGTACTGGGAATTGAACTCACAACCTGGCGCTTGCCAGGCAGGCACTGTGCCGCTGAGCTAAATCCCCAGCCTCCAATTGGCTATTAACAATAGCCAATTGGCTATTAACGAGTTACACCAGAATTAGTATTAATATATAAGCGTTCTCATTCCATTTTTATAAATAAGCCATTATGTTTAAAGGTATTTGAAACAGTTGAAATGCTTTATAGAGTAAGTTACATCCTTTTTTCAAAGATAAACTGTTCTTTTGTATATTTTTTCTCTGAAAACCCGAAGAGGGCTGGAGCTGTAGCTCAGTGATAGAGTGCATGCTTGGCGTGCATGGCGATCTAGATTTGATCCTCAGCACCACAAATAGATAATAAATAAATAAACAAACTGAAAAGTCTTTTCATTGGGTCACTTACTGAATAGAATGTTTATTTCACAAATGTTAGAATTATTAAGGATTTGTAGTTTTAATAATGCATACAGTTGTGTAGGAATGCACTTTTATATGTAGTATTTTTAAACATCATAATTTTGCAGCTGCCATTTCAAATACTTATGATTAATAAGGTTATATGATTTTTTTTTTAAAGCCATAACACATTTTGTCTTCTCACCTGTGGTTTGAATGTAAAGCCAATTTTTCACAGACATTATTATGTTCTTGGTAATTACTATTTACAGCTAACCTACCTATCTATTCATATGTATGTACCCACACAGACACAGAAAATTACATTTGCCTTCTTAAAACGTTGATTTTTAAGTCAGCTGTTAGGCTTCAGTGATTTCAGCTTTTTGTTCATGTTTTATTGGAGATGTACATGGTTTCTGAGGCCTTTAAACAAATAAATGAAATGATTGAAAAATGTTTATTGCTCATGCTTAGCTAAATACTTCATCTCTAGAAAAGATGTAGCTTATTTTGGCACTGTTTTAAAAACTCAAATATTTTAGACATTTGTTAAGTTGGAGCTTGCATATTTGAACTAGTAGCATACGTTCCAGAATCGCATCTCAAGTTACAAAACTTTTTGAAATACTTTTACTAGAATAGCTTCTTGAAGAGGTTTTTATTTCTTTTTTGTGATGTACTTTAATGTAAGCTATGTTAAATTTATAAAGGTTGACATTATTTTTTAAAATAGGACTTCAGAAATAGAATTTGGCATTGATAAATGTATATGTTTGAGAATCATTCACATGTTTATACTGTTGATATTCTTTTGCAGAAGTCTTGATGTGCTTATTTTTAAATATATTGTTTTCTAAATATAGTTTTGGAGTATGTTATCATTTTGGAAGCTCCAACTTTCTTGACTATCTGATTATTAACAAAGATGTATCTTAATGTACAAACTCAAATATGCACCATACACATTTGCTTTTTGTTCTCATAAAATTCTCTATTGCAAATCCTGCACATTTCAGTGCAATTCTTAAACATCAATCTTGGGGCTGGGGATTTAGCTCAGTGGCACAGCGCCTGCCTGGCAAGCATGAGGTCGTGAGTTCAATACCCGGTATCAGAAAAAAAAAATCGATCTTTATCAAATTTATAAGTGTACAGTCCTGAAGATACTGTTCTGGATATATGCCCTACTATTATTTCAGTAAGGAAATAGATTAAATTACCCATTAAACTGTGTACGCTTTCCTTAATAAAGATGAAAAGTCAATATGAGCAAATTTGTTTGGTACCTTAGGAACCTTTTAAAACTATTTAGATATAAAATAAAAGTATAGTAATAAAGGATTAAAGGGAGATATTATTTTAGTAAATATAATTAGAATGAACCTAAGAAAGGAAAGCAAATTATTTTAATTAAAAGATAATACATTGATCCAAACCTACTACAGAGCACTACTACTAATTTTTGAATATGTATTTAGAGTATTGTGTGATCAAGAGCTGAAATCTAAAGACTGATTCTTCTAAGTTTGATTATTTAAACAGGATGAGATAAATGTAAACAGACTATGTAACATAATATGTAGTAAAAAGAGAATTTCAAGCTCAATAGGACAGGGGCTAAACAGTAGTCTCTGGGACAAAGGTTCTATAAACTGGTAGTATCTGAACTGTCACATAACTGTATTTTAAGAAAGTTGTGGTTTCCTTGTTGTGTGATACCATGTTACTTCACCACAGCCTTAGTGATATTGTGATTTATTTTACTTCTTCATTTGTATACAATGTTCACATTGTTACTGTTTTTAAATGGTCAACTACTCTAAGAAGATTTTTGAAATAAAAATGAAGTTACAGTATTTTATATTACCCATGTATTTACCATTCCCAATGGTCTTTGTATGTGTAGACCCATTTCCAGGATCCTTTTCCTTCTACCTGTATATTTATGATCTTGTCTACTGCTGGACTATTGGCTCAACTTTTGCATGTCTGAATAGGTCTCTCTTTTGCTGCCTTCATTTTATGGAAAAAAAATTGCTGGTTATAGAAATGTAGGATAACAGGGTTTTGTTGCTTGTTTCACTATGTTAAAGAGGTTGCTCTAGTATCTCTTACTTGCTGTGTTCTTGCTGTCATTGTTACTTTTGTCCTCTGTACATAATGTGTCCTCTTGAAGCTTTTAAAGATTTTTTCCTTTTGTCAGTTATTTTAACTGATTTGATCATGATATGCTATGGTATAGATTTCTGCATGTTTTTGTGCTTATGTTTTGTTGAACTTCACAGCTCTGTTAATCTGTAGTGTTTTATCATTGGAAAATTTTCAGCTATTATTTTTACCAATATTTCTGTCCTCCACCATTTTCTTCTCCCTTTGGAACTACTATTTGAGATTCATTAGTTCCACAGCTCAGTCATGCTTCATGCATTTTTTCAGTCTCTTATTTTCATTTTGTCAGTCTTATTTTCTGTGTTGCATTTTGAATAGTATTTCTTTGTCTTCAGACTTAATAATAATTTCTTTTGCAGTGTCTAATGTGCTATTAATCTCATTGAGAGCCTTTTCTCCAATTTTTGTTTCTGTTTGTTTTTTCCCCTTGTCGTGAGTTATATTTCTTACTTTGGATGTGTGATAATTTTTTACCACACATGAGTGAAGGATATTTTTATATTGGTTTAAAATTGTTTTCAGCTATGTTCAAGGATGCAGTTATATGACTTGGAAATAGAATGATATTCTTAAGCCTATTTCAACTTTGATAAATAGGACCAGAGCAGCCATTAATAAGTCTAAGATTTTCCCACGCAACTCCTATAACTCCTACTGAACACACTACCTTAGGCCTTGCTTATTATTAAGACATTTCTACTTGCACTGGTCACCACAAAAACTATTTGTAGGCCATGTGTGAGTTTCAGTCACTGTCTTGCCTCTTTCTGATGCCTATGTTTTGCTCTGTCCTTGATAATTTGTGTGTGTACATGTACTGGTCAGTACTCAGAGAAAGACCCAAGGAGTGCTCAGCAGCGGCCTGAAACTTGTTCACTCTCTCTCCACAGCCAATCTCAGTTCCCCATCCCTGCTCTGTGCTCTGTAAATTTTGCAGATCATGGAGTGGGGCACTGGTAGAGCTCACTTTGTTGCTCTTCTTTCAAAAGTCACTGTCTAATGCTACCTGTTACCCAAAGTCCAAAAAATTGCTTCATGTATTTCACTGAGGGAATTTTTTTTCTAGTTATTTAATGTGTTATAATACATCTAATACCTGTTAATCCATCATAGCCAAAAGTGGAAGTCTTCCAGTAACTCTTAGAATGCGTCCTGTTAAGGGTTAGCTTCCCTCTTACAGAGATGTCAACTGCACCGCCATCTTGTTCTATTGAAAGTAGTCTTTGTTTTTCTGGATGGTTACTGCCCATTCTTCATTTATTTTGTCGTTTGGAAGTTTATTCTGTGCCTAGATGTGGTGTTCTGTGTATTCTTTGCTTGAGTTCAGAGACCTCCTTAAATCTCTGATTTGATATATTTTGTGAGTTTTAGAAAATCTTTAGTCAATATCTGTTTCTCCTTCTGAGACTGTAATTAATTATATGTTAACTTTTTCACTGTTTTCCTGTATATCTCTTTCCTCCTGTATTTTCCATTCTATATTTTACTCTATATTCATCAGTTTTGATTTTAAAAAAAAAGTCTTTCCATTTCCCTAATTTCATCTTCTATTGTGAAACCATCTTAATGTGAGACTATATTTTTCAGATCTACAGTTTTCTCTTTGTTTTGTACATTCAAGTTCTCTTGGTGAAACACTCATTTTTCTAAATCTATTTTCTCCCCCTTTACCTCTGTTTTCATGATAACTTTCAGTCATAGTTATTTTAACCTCCAAGTCTTTCGCTCCAAAATCTGAATCATCTGTAAGTCTTTTTCTATTGTCTATTTTTTTCTCTTGGAATACCTACAAATGTTTTACCAAATGCAAGAAATCCTAAACCTCCAGATGATTTCCTTGCCTTCCTCTTGATAGAGTTTATCCTTTATTCTGCTGGGAAAATTAAGTGGAATCCAGTTACATTAATATAGTGAAGCTGGGTTGCAGTTTGAGTAAAACCCCACTGTCTCAAACTTGCTTTTTTTCCCTGTGGACTTCCAATGTTGAAAGTGATAGCTTCACCAGTCCTGTTTAAGATAGTCTCATCTTTAACTTTTTTAACCACCTTTTTAGGATAGCTCAGAATTTACAAGGGTTTTGGAAGGGAAAATTAGGCATGCATTCCCCTTAGGTCTCCAGTTTTGTCACTTGAACTCTTCAAGACTGCCAACTGTTCTGCTGGTTTCTCTGTCCCTAGCAGCAGTCCTCTGCTGAACAAACCCCAGAAGTTCCATTTTCTCATCTTCTCCCCAAACCAGCAAATGCCTCCAAGAGAAAAGCAGCTGTAGATCATCAGTTTACCTCTTACTATTCTCTCCTTTGTGGAATCTTAGTCCCTTAAGCTATCTTTGTTTTATCCCTTTCTGACATTTTTAAATAAATACCCTTTTGTAGTTTACCCAGCTTTCCTAGTTTTTCTTGGTAGAAGCCGCAGTCTACCACAAACCACTCTGTTCTGTATAAAAAACAGAAATCCAGTGAGTTTTTAATTTCTCTTATTATACTTTTACCTTTTAGAGGTTATATTCCTTCATTACCAAATGCACTTTTATAGGCTTTGTTTCTATCTTGTGTTTCCAATCCCTTTTTGAATTTTCCTATATATCTTAAACAAACTTATGCTGCCTGTTATGTCTGTATTTCCCCATTACCTATCACGTTTGGTGATTTGTGAATGTGAGCTTTTATTTCTTAGAATTATTCTCTGTGGGACTTTTTAACACCTGGGTTAAAGGTGGGTTCCTCCACAGAGGCCTTGCATTTGCTTTTTCCTGTTAGTTGGAAGCATGCATAGATGTTGGATCACTTTTAAATCTTAATTTGAACTTTATTGACTCACTTAAGTAATGTTAATGTTGGTTGAACACCCACTTGAGGACTGACTTGTTATAAAATTTGTAGGGGAAATATTCTTTTGGCCTCTACTCAGCCTGAATTCAAGATTTCTGTCCATTGGTGAGTCTTGGGCTTTGTCCCCCATCCCCTTGTACAGTAGAAGTTTATGGAAGCCAAGCTTGGCTTTACCCCTAATATAAAGCAAATAAATATTGTCAAGGTTTTAAAAAATGATTTTTGTGTTACCACTGTGGGTTTCCAGTTGCACTTAGATTTGGCCCTCTGAATATTCCTTACTGAGGGTCATAATTGATGCATTTTAAAAGATGTTTGTCATTTTCTGTGCAACATTTTTAGTCGCATAGTACAGGAGGTGCGAGGTGTAGCGTAGCAGGAAACAGCAGAACAGTAGTCAGGAATCAAATGTTATTAAACTTACACGGTGGGGGAGAAAATTATACTGGTAGTAAAATGTTCTCAGTTTAGCATTACTTGTATACATGAGCAAAATGAGCAGAAAATAAATTTACCTTCCAAGAACCATAATTGCAATTCTTTGCCCCTACTTGGTAACTATAAGCAGTTTCTTTTTTTATTAAAGTAGAGAAAATGATTGAATAATTCAAATTAGCCCTGGCAAGAAAACTAACAGCTGCCTACAATGAAATGTTTGAGTTATGAGCCATGTGCCACTTTGGTTTATCTGAAGCCAAAAGATTCGGAATCCTTCTTCAATTAACCGTGTTGCTTGGGAGGGCCTGGTTGCCCTGCACAAGAGCTGCCTGGTGGTGACTAAGAGGTATCTGTAACACACAAGTTCAGGCCTTGCAACTCTGTTTTTGTTGTTTGAACTTTCCTCTCCCTTGTAGCTAGGGATCCAGCGTGGAATTTAAACACTTGTGTGGTAACTCCATTCCTTCATCCATTGTATTGTTAAGCTCCAGCTAACGAACTTTTAACGCCGGCTCCAGTAAGGCAAGACATAGAAAACAGCAGCAATTTCTGGCAGTATAATTAAAACTATGATTTATATGTCTTTACACAGCAGCTTAGATGCTTTTGCGCGTCTGGTCCAACTATCCCATAAAAACTAGGCTTTGTAAATTATATGAAAACTAAAGAAATAAAACAAGACATGCTTAAGAAAGCTTTCATGCAGAAGTGACTTTCACTTCAAAAATCATACCTACTGTAGCAGAAACTGCAAAATATATACCTGTTTAAGATTTACATACTTTTCTAAATAGAGAAACTAAAATTACATAACATTTGAAAGATGAGAAGTGCCACATGCACCAGTTATGTATACTTTATCTCATGTGGCCTTCCCCTTCTATGCCAATGTTTTTAGTTGCTTAGGGAGATCCTCCTGATAATATCTCAAAGAATGCTGGTTGGCCCTATATAGATTATGTACACATTGGCTTGCTAAGGACAAGTTCTGCTTTGAAATCTCTAGGCTTTACTTTGCTTCTAAACATACTGTTTTGAATCTAAAATTAAAATGAGAGAAAAGATTGCATTTCTTCTCTAAATCACAGTCCAGTTCTTAAGATCATTCTGGGTGAGGAGAGGTGTTCAAGTATGGTTGGAACAATTATATAATAAGTTGATATAAAACATCTGTTTTATTGCTTTTAAGAGCTGCGCTTTACTTAAATCTGTACACTTATGTCTTACTAGCCACTAATTTGCGTTTTGTTACATCACAGCTTGTTGCTTTGCAAAACTAGATGTGCTTTTTGCATCTTTTCTTAAACTGTGGTTATGTTGCAAAGAATAGTTGTGTACTTTTCTTTAGGTGACACAGATAATGTGACTAATTAATCTTGTCTGTCTACTAGAAGTGAAGAAAAACTTTTGAAATGAGAAGTTTCATGTAAAACTTCAATAGTAATCACTTTCTGCTTTTGTAAACCTGCAACACCATAGTTACACTATGGGATGAAAGTTTAAATATTATAGATATTATTGTCTCTAAATTTTAGTCAAAACTGTCTGGGCCTATGTTAGGTTTTTAAGAACCAGTTGCCTAAATCATACGTAGATGTTCTATGCCACATTATTTTATTTTCTTATGAATAGCAAAAAAAGTATTATGCGAGAGTCTGTGCTCCAAGCATACACTGCATTTCAGTTCCAGCTGCTTTTTCATTGTTTAATTCATTTGCCATTTTTAAACCTCTACTAAATCAAATCTACCTTCTTGTTTAAATCCAATTTATCCTTCAAAGAACACTTACGTGCCACCTCCTACAAGAAGCATTTCCCCATTCTCCACCCCCACTCCACAAGCAAGTTGTAGTTATCTCTCTTCTGTGGGCCTTACACCTCTTTCTGCAGCTCTCTGTTAGTGTAGTTTACTAAGTTTCTCTTGCTTCAGTATTTCTGTACTCTCTCCTGTTAGAATGCAAGCTTCTGAAGATCAGAGATTCAGTCTTACTCATATTTCTTTGCACAGGTAAATACTTCAATAATTGTTCAATAACCTGTATTTTCATTCTGTGTTAATTTTCTAAACATCCGTGTCACTTAGTTTTTAAAAAATCATTCTAAATGATTAAAATTTGAATATTTTTTCCTACAACGGTATGACTTGCATAGTAATTATGTAGCACCTGGCACAAGTAAGACATTGTGCTTATCTGAGGACTACAACTTTTTAAAACTCAGTTAATTTAAAGGGTAATTGAAAGATTTTGTTGTTGTTATTTGTTTGTTTGGTTGGTTGGTCGATTGGTTTTTTTACATGAGAATTTCTTGCATAGCTGTTAAATTGCAGGCCCATACAATCCAAAGTTTGAAATTTCATTTCATGATAAAGATACAGTTTCAGTTTGCTTACTACAAAATTTGCACATAATTATCAGACCAACAAATAGGCCAGTTAAATCGTTATTGAATAAGAGTAATAACTAAATTGTTTTCTGGAACCAAATATGTTCATATTTGTGTAAAAGGTAAAGTGCAAGTCGGATATAAACCAGTGGGATAGATGTGGACGCTCTTCAGTGCTGCTGCATCTACTTGAAATCTGAACTCCAAATTCAGTAGCCTCTCAATTTCCTAAAAGTAACTGAAGTTTTCTAAATTCTGATTATTCTGTTCTACTTCCTTGAGGTTTTTTTAAACCTTCTTAGTGTGTATTATTCTTTCAAGCCCCAAGCCCTATTTTAACATATTTGAGAACAAAATTAAATGGTACATAAACATTACCCACCAAATTTAGTTGCTAATTTTATTTTGCTGTGCTTCAGTCTTCGTCAGTTTTCATCATGTATCTTGCTGAATGAAGCTCCTAAATCTTAAGAAATGCATCCCATTCTTCAATAAATAGGTCAGTTGTATGAAAGACTTTCTGAAACACTGAAGCACAGAATACTCGCTGCATTTTACTTGGAATATCATGACATTAACACAATGAAAACTTTGAAATTCTTGGAAGAGATTTTCTTATAAATCTGTTCTGGCTGTGTCTACCCAAATTACATTTTTTGATATTGTATGTCCTTCTCCAAAATTGTTTCTAGTGTGTACCTCACAAAGTTAACTGTCTTGATCATAATTGACTGGTGGGAAAGTGACTCAGTAAGAGCATTTTGTTTGCATTTTCTAGGAAGTATTTCTTCTTTACTCATCATGGAACAATAAGCCAAAAATACCAACATTGTTTACACTGTTGAAAAATTAACATTATCTTAATGACTAATACTGAAATGTTGGCACATAGCCAAATGAATCATATTTGTCTTAGAAGATTCAGCTTTAATTCTTCCTGAAATTCATCAGGCAAGAAATTAAAGTGCTGTACATTTTAGCATTTGTCTTGAGCATCTAAAGATCTCTTAGCTGATATTTTTTTCTTAGAATTGTGTGTTTAATTCTAGGATCGCTCCTCTTTTTTGTAACCACGGAATTAAAACACGTAGTCCTCTTTTATAACTTTCACATTTGGGTGAAATTATGACAGAGGAATTGAAATTTTCATAATGTGCCGTCAGCCAGCATTTTCAGAGCTAGAAGTACAAGTTTATGTCCATCCCTAAGCTCTTCATTTCGTGAACTGCACTGCTTCCCTATCTGCTGTTGTTAAGAGCTGAAGCTTGTGCCATCATGGTTAATGTTTTGACAGATTTTATCATAAACTTTGCTGTTGTAAATTTGCCTTGAGCCAAAATTTAACATGTTGTAAGCTCAGAAACAGTTTTTACTGTTGGTGATCCAGAAAAGGAAATAAATCTAATATGCTCTTTTGAATGAAAGGAGTATAGTGTTTAACTTCTTAAAAGTTATTCATTACTTGAAATTTGGGAGAAACTCATATTCTCTATGTTCAAGGTCTCTCAATTGTCAATAAAGCTTTGCATAAACATTTTGTGACTATTGGAAGAGAGAAGATACCAAAGGAAATAGTATGTGCTTATATAATCAAAATATCACTGCATTTTAAAATCAAAATATCATTAATTTTATTTAAAAAAAAGATTTTGGGGTAGAAATGTAAACTGGAAATGTGATGAAATGATTCCAGATCTATGGAATATATACTTTGTTTCCAGAAAACTTATTAGTGAGACCTTATTTTATTAAGTCTTTCATTGATTATTGTACTTATTTTATTAAACATGTTACCAATCATTGGTGTTCATAACAGCCTGTAGATCTAGATTTTTTTCTCTTTAGAACATCTTCAATGACCATGACCATTAATATTTACTCATAAATTCATTTGTACACAGGCTCAACCGTAGCACATCAGTGAAGACAAAAAGAGTTGTTATCCAGTTCTTTACCCTAGAATAAATCAAATCAACAAATATTTATTGAATGTCTACTATGTGCAAATAGCCCTGGACTGGTCAGCTTTTAAAAGCCACCCGACTTTTCACATTGACAAATCAAAGCATTATTATTTGAAGCATTGCAGAAGCTGCTTCCATTTCCTGAAGGTGACAGAGCATATGAGGATCCTGCAATGATTTGGGGGTACAGAAAGACAAGGCTAATTGGCAGATTGAAAAGAGGAGAAAGAGCACTCTAAAATATCAGTACGGGTGGACTGCGTCACGTACGTATATGCATATGAATTTGTGTATATGGGTGTGTATCTGTTCACAGCACGTATATCTACACAAAGAGAAGAGTGAGTGAGTTTTAGAGAAATAAGTTTGTTAAGATGGCAGAGAAAGAGTCTTCACATTTGAGTCCAGAGCTTTGCCTTAAAAATAGGCTTGAAGGGATGTAATTCAGTGAAAGAGTGATTGCTTAGCATGTTCAAGGTGCTAGGTTCAATCCATAGTACTGCAAAAAAAAAAAAGTTTAGCTAGTGTTAATTTTATGGTACCACAAAACCAAAATTTATCATGATTTAATAGAAAAATTACTCAAATTGTTCTACAACCAGACTTTCTCTAAAGTCTATTATAAAATGACCTCATTAATTAATAGATCTGTAATCAAAACGTGAATTCTACATTATTACTATAGAAAATTATTTAAAATTCCTAGATAAGTTTTGTTTATACTAAATAAGAGAAATTTGGAAGCTCATTTTAAAGATTCTAATTGTTACCAGGAACTAATAAAAACTACCAGTAAAAGGCAAGATGTGTTCATTTTACTTACCTACACTATTCTGTACATTTCATTTTATTATCTATAATAATATGATAATGCAAAGTCTCTGCTCCCGTCAAATAATTGTATTGTCCTAGGTGTGAAAGGGAGGTCAGCAATAATATCCAGCTTTGCCAAAGGCAATTAATCTTAGTTGCTTTGGGTAGAAAGTACATATACATGTTGATCATAGAGTTACTATAGCTGACACTTTCACAGGGGGTATCTAGTGTCAACTTAAAAATATTTGTTTAAAAATTTAATTTTTAAATGTCAAAGTGTTGATAGGCCAGGTCTAAATTCTGATGAAAAGCAAAATAGATTCCAAATAACCTTTTTAAACAGTACCTTTTATCTTTCCTAAAATGTCTGAAATTCCCAATTTTGTAGAAAAAATCTGCTACAGCTGTACTCAAAATTGGTGCTTATTATGAAATTGTTATTAAAAGTACCTTGAAGCCAAGCTTCTTATAGTTCTTTTCAATTATTTTATACTTTGCCTATGTCTCTGGTCTTATTTTAAAACATACCTTGATTCTTTTATAATAAATGTTAGATTTTTAATCACATAAGTTCTTTATAAGATGTAAAACCATCTTATTGCCCTTAAGCATAGTAAGCACTTTCAATGTGTGACTACTTTCTCTTCTTGATGCATTGTAATGAAAGTCTTTCAGACATATTTTGAATAAAATTTCACATTGGATGATCCAGATTGAATGCTGCTTATGTTCACGAAGAAATACTACCTTTAGAGTTGTTGCTACCACGTAATTCACCTTTCCCCCTATTTTGACAAGAATCCCTAATACTGAGACCCTCTTACCTAGGACCTATCCTGGATTCACCTGCCCCCTTGTGGTGTTCCTATCTGGAAAGTTAATTAATTTCTGAAATTTGGGTTTGGTATTACAGTCTGAGAAAAAGGAACCCCATTATCCTTGTGTAGAGTCCAGAATAAGCACAATTCTGTTAGTCACTGGCTAACTTAGAAAGATGAAAGGCATATCTTCGTTTTGTGTTAATGCACAAAAAGGAAATTGGGCACCGTAAAGAAATGAGTAGCTTGGAATAACTGATTATGTTTCATTTTGTCTGGAATCTGTGAGTGACCTACAGTTTGATACACTACAGACGTGTTTTAAGAGTTCTCATAAAGCAACTTAAAATCAAGTTTAGTTTATGTCCTTTTTTAATGAGTGAGGAGTGGAGACTGTTTAAATGTTAAAATAGATTTCCTAAGCCTTTCATCAACATTGAATTTATAAAGTAAAAGTTAAATATTTTATGTAGTCAGATGTGTTTTATGTGATTGACACAAATACATTTTTGTTGCCCCCTTTCAAAAAACAGTTCCTTCTTCACATGCCACAGGACTAATTTTTACGCCTTCATTTGGAGTCCACTGCCTCCAGATGGATTTGTACGTGGGAACAGGATGTATGTGTACAATGACTAAATGTACCTCGCCACAAATTCAGAGACATTTTGCAAGACTAAGGACTTAATAATTATTACCTCCTTGTTCTTAATAAAGAACAATATGAAAATAAAGCTGAAGGTGTAAGAAAAGAACTATTTACACAAATGAGCTATTTGTCTTTCTTAGGAGATAGATTAATAAATTAATATTGTTGTAAAAGTAAAAATTGAAAGGTCATTTTTGTGTTAATTGTAGAATACTTCTAGCACAGAATTCTCTCATTTCATGCTGCTCACTTGCCACCCCCAGCCCTCACCGAAGCTTGGTTGAACTGAGAAATGATGCTTTGTGACATTTTAAACACCCTACGTCCTCTCTTGAGATCTAAAAGAGGAACAAGATGCAGGCTTTAGTTGAGATATTTGCAGAAAAACTCCCAAATTTCTTGCATCTGCAGCTGCTTTGCAGTTTCCCTTATGTGTATAACAGTTGATCTACTACCAGGTTCCCAGAAACACAGGTTCAAATTTTGGCAGGCTTACCTCACTTCTGTGTCCTTCCAAAGTACATAAAGGCTAAACTGTGTTCACAGAGAAGAAGGGAGAGTCGTTCCAGGGAGACTTTAAAAAGCCAAGACCCTTTCTCTTCCCTACCAAGTTGCTGCCATCATCCCCAAAGGAATAAAGTTTGTCAGTATGCCCTTGGCATAATTTCTGCAGCCTGGATTAAGCACAGGTGACTGAGAGTCTGCCTTATCTCCACAGGGCATTAGTCACTCTATAAAAGTTAAATTTATTATGAAATCCTTTGTTTGTGTTAACATATATCTTCTCTGGGAAGCTGGAAACAAAGGCATGTCCTTTAAGACTCCATATGGGGAAAACACATCCTCCTTTGGAATTTAACCTTAATTTGAACCAAGATCTGTGAAAGAAAAGCACTTTAGTGTATTGTTCCCTCGCTCCACCCTTCTATCCCCTTATCTACATGCAGTTACTGTTGCTGTTTTCTTTAACTCTTACCATTCCAAACCTTGCTTTCGTGCATTTAGAATTTATCTTAAAAGAAAACTTTATACATGCACATCATTGTTTATGTTGTTCAGATACACTACAGAGACTACTTTGTTTCCTGAAAACTTTATTTTCCTCCAATCTTTTCTAAAATTCTCTCACGAGCAAACATTGTTACCTATACAGTTTACACTGTATTAGAAGTAAAGAATGATTAAAGTGAGAAAAGTTTCACTAGAGATGGTGATGAGGAACCATTTGAAAAATCAATTTTTGATCTCAGTTTTCCTTTAATCTGTTAGCAGTCTTTTTAATGCTTCCTATTTATGTAAAATTCATAGACACTAATGCTCTATTTCAAAAGCAAAAGCAAAAATTCCATCACTGCTTCCCCAACATAATACCTCAGTTGATAAACTTTAAGGAAGGTATTTCAAAAGGAAGATATTTTAATTTGACATATTAAAAAATACTACATATATGAGCGATTAGTTTCTCTAGTAGCATCTGTACCATTAAACTTATAATTATCCAAATGATTTTTCTGTCTTGGTTTTTGTTACATTAAGAAAAATAACAACCTAAATTATAATACAAGTTCAGATATTCATTTATTCTTTTAAAAAAATGAGTTTGAATATATCTGTATCTTCAGAATATAACCTTGCTCAGCATTATTAAATTGAAAATTTCTTAGCAAAATCAAAACTTACAGATCCCTCTGCTCACATATTTTAGCTTATCATATAAAATGATAACTTGAAATTGATTTAATAAACATGTTTTTAAAACATGGAATGTACATCCACTACACTTAGGACATTAGAAAATTGATCACAAGTCATATCAAATCATAGCATTGTTGTCCCCACTTCAGCCCCACCTGGCTGTGCTCTAACCAACCCTCATCTGACAGTCATTGAAGATTCGTCTCCACCACCTGTTGGCACTTGATTATACACTGTAGTTATTATTTAAATTCATAATATGTATCAAATTTCTTCATGGAAATTATAAACACATAGAACAATAGTGAGTTGACAGTTTGAATGTTTTACCTCTTAGACTCTTAAGTTCTTGTTTTTCTTGAACTTTGTCAAGCAGTGGATATGAATTTGATACAAGCTTCTTAAAAAGTAACAGCCTTATGCCTGTTGTTACCTTATTCAGTGCTGATCCCAAATTTTTCCAAAGACTCTTTTGGATGAACATCTTCATTGCAGATGTAGATGCTTGTACAGTTATATCTTTCACTCATGGTCCTGTCCTAGTCATAGAAATACCATTTATAGGAGTAAAAAGATCAAAATAATGGATGAACAAGATAATGGGAGAAGTGAAAATAGTGAAGTGTGAAACTAAGATGTCACACAGAATTGAAGAAACTAATGAAAAATGTAGGATTTGTATGGGTAGAAACAACTTGGCAATAGCTAAAAGACAAGAGCAAAAGGAAGAGAAAAGCAAACATAGTTCCAAACTGCCTGTGAATTCACTGCCTGTGAATTGCGGTTAGTCAACCCTCAAGCATTTGCAAAACTGGATTTTAAAAACAGATGAACAGTATGTGTGTGCATTTATAAAAGTATAGAAAAGTTGTCTCCACTCTTAAATTTCAAGGATGTAAGGGTGTGGTGAATCAATTAGAATAACAAAGTGCTCAGTTTCTTCACTGGCCAAGAGTAATATTGCTTAACTATTAGATATATCACTAGACAGAACCATGTTATACAAAATTATAAATAATATGTCCATTCATGTAAGGCATTTCTTTTCATTGGACCTTATGTATATTTGAATACCAAAGGGGACACTTAAAAATAACGAAGTCAGTAAGGCCTTTATCCAGGGAAATCACAATCGTACAGAGTCAGAAGTATGGATAATAAGTTGTAATGGGTTAGGGTTACACGATAAAAGGAGTAAATGTAAAATACCCTAGCCTTAATCATATTCATTATTTAATGATTTACAATTACAGTTAATGCACAGTATAAGAAAAGGTAAAACTAATGTTCTGAGAGGAAATATTGCTATTTTGGTGATATTGTGAAGCTTTTAATCTGATTATATTTGGAAATCTTCAGTATTTTTTTCTGCAAGTATGACATGCAGAGGATTGAAAGACATAATGAGGAAGGGATATTGTTTATTTTATTAATAATCCAGTCAATGCCATCCTGGTGCTAGGGATACAAAGTTGGGTAAGACAGACTCTGACCTCATGAAAATCCAGAAGGAATACACAGCTGTAAATTATTACAGTAAAGTATAGTAGGTGCCGTAATAAAGATAGGCTGAGAATGTTTGGACAGAACACGTGAAAGGGAATCTTACCACATCTATGAGATCACAGAAGGCTTCCCCAGAGGAGATAGTGTTTGCGCTACATTCTGTTGGGACTGGCAACAAAGGTGACTGTTAAGGCTTTTTTGTTTATTTGTCTTGTTTTGTTGACCAGGTTGATTTCAGCGCATGAGCTTGAGCAATCTTCCCTCCTGCTTTATCTTCCTAAATAGCTTGGTGACTTTACTCGGACTGATTTCTACTAAAATGAGAAACAAAACCCAGATGGCAGTGAACCGAGAAGTGAAGGTACAAATGGGGGTATAGATATGGACTACTTACCCCCACAAAATCACTTTCCTACTGTTCTTGCTTGCTGCCTCTGAAAAGATTTAGCATGAAATTTTATATTGCATGGCACAATTAGGTGTTGAACGGTAGCAATGGATTTTAGTGTATCACTTTTAGTGAATCACTCCTGGGTGTTAGTGAATAATTGTATCCCAGTTGTATAATGTCAGTAACATGAATCTTTCTAGCATGTGTCTTAGTACTTGAAAAACTACTTTATCATGAAAGGCTTCGATTTCTATTTTCTTTTTTTTTCCTTTCTGGGAGCTTCCCAGCATCAATTGCCAAGTATATCATTACTACACCACAGAGCTGGTGGCCATGCTACAACTTCCGTCTAAAAGATGACTTCCTTCTTTCCTCCCATAGTCCGTGTGTTTCCTTTGAACAGAAATTCAGATTACTTTTCAATTCCTTTTCAGTTTTCTTCTCTTCCAATGGACATTATGAAACTGTTTCATATTAACACACTTCTATATCTTCTCTAATCTTCTGTCTTATTAATATTTGGCAACAATGTCTAGTTTAAAATGTCCTTCACCTCTAGGACATCCTACCATTTCACTTCCACCAGCATGGTTTACTATCAGGGAGAGTTGTATTATTAACTTTGATTTGTGTATCCATTCTTGGTCCTTGCCTATTATACAATTATTATATAAATTGAATCAAATCAATATTTACTCAGTTTTCCTCTCTATGAGGGTCCTCGGTTTTGGACACTACACTGTATAGCTTCCAACTGGAATCTTGTATACCAAGCTGTTTTGTGTGAAGGTTTGCTCTTCATAGTGATGTTAATCTGTGGTTTTCTGCACATTATGTAAAACAAACATACTAGATTAAATAGCACCAAGGTCTTCAACTCTTCTAGAATTATGATATAAAGCCAGGTAATCTTTATTGACTAATCAAAGTTTATAGAAAAATGAATGCTATCATAACTGTGTCCCCAAATATACGCCAGCCCATAAAATATGGATAAGAAAGTGACTATGAGGATTAAACACAAGGGAATTAACAAGACCTCATAGAAACCACCAAGATGATGAATAGGGACTTCAGTTTAGAATATAATAAGGAAATACATTCTGCTCCTGGCTATCATCAGAGCTGCTAGAGTCAGATTAATTTGCCTCCTAAAAATAACTTCAAAACTTGGACAAAATGCAAAGCTAAATAAAACAGAAAAATATAGAAGCTCTGGAGAACAACCAGTGCTGCCAAGACCCGAGGGCCAGGATCCTGGACAGATGGAAAACGCATTGAGGTGAGTTGAGTGCTGCATTCACAACTGCATTTTCCTCCGTCTGTTTGCTGATTCAAGTATCAGGCGCAGAGGCACAAGAGCTGTGGTAATCTTTAGTTTGTGGCAATCTTACTGGGCTAAAGAAATTTTAAAAATGAAGTGCAGGGTTAAATTAAGCAGTTATGGCATAAAGGGCTAAGATTAAGAGAAAAGGCCTAGACAGTGGAGACCAACATTCTACGTGCAATTTTTTTTTCAGTATATTTTCTGTTTTTTAAGAGCCTTAAAATAAGATACAGGGAAACAAAGTGAAACAACAAGCAAAAACACTTACTAAGAAGGTAAAAAGCTAAGGACAGTGTCTGGCAGTCCCGTGATCAAGTGACACAAAAGTTGGAATGCAAGTCTCACCAAAGAAGAAAGACTCGACTTTGGAAACAGATGCTGGAAAAGCAATGCCATGGGAGTAAGCACAAATTATAAATAGACCAACCTCAACTATATCAAAGTAATATTCCCAAGCTCTGTCAGAAATTGAATAAAAAGCAAAAATCTAAGACATTATCAGCTAGAATTATCCCTACTACTTCTCAGAGTCAATATTTATCATTCAACCAGAAATAATCAGGCACGCCAGGAAATAAAGTAAAATAACCAAAAATTCAAGAGAAAATAAAACAAAAATAGAACCACATGTGGTACAGATATTGTAGTTATCGGACATAGACTTCAAAAGGAATCTTAGAATTAAAAAGTATAAGAACTAAAATTAAGAATTTAATAAATAGCTCTAGTAGCTGATTGGGTTTTGCAGAAAAGTAGACTCAGTAATGGCAAGAGAAGCCAATGGAAGACATCCAAAATGGAGAAGAAAAAGAAAAAGATGTAAAATCCATGAAATATAGTAAAAGACATGTGGCAGAGGGTATAAAGTTTATCATGTGTGTAACTGGAGTCCTAGTGCAACAGCAGGGAGAAGCACCGAAAGGACACCCAGGACCTGGAGGCAGATTTATTAACGTCGACAGGCACTGATCGGGATCATTCCCACAATATCAGGCCCTGATCTCTGGGGGTCTAGGGCTTATATGAGGTAAGCAAGCAGGAAGTACAGAGGCAGAATGGCTTTTCAGTTGGGGATTGGTTTACACAATGTGCATCATAGTGACCAGCTGTGGATCACAGTGACCAGCCGTTACTAAGAGACAGAAGCAGCCAGAACTGGGACAGTTACCTGAGCAACAAAGAAGCTGAAGTATACTGGTGAGGGCGGAGGAGCATTTTCTGTTACACCAGGACAGAAAAAATGTAGCAACATAAATATTTAAAGAGATATTTTCCATAAATAATGAAAGATATCATGCCACTTAATCAAGAGATTCTACAAACCCTGATAAACTACACATTGGCACACCACAGTAACATTGTTTAAGAAAAAACAATAGGTAAAGCTTTAAAAACAACCAGAGGCACAGCCCTACCTCCACAAGAAAATTTCACACCTGCCTGAACAGTGAGAAACAATGCCAGGTGTTGAGGTTTGCACCTGTAATCACAGCACTCAGGAGGTCTGCGCAGAAGAATTGCCACAAGTTTGAGGTCAGCCTAGGCTACATAATGAGTTCAAGGCCAGCCTGAACTATATGGTGAGGCTACATAATGAGTTCAAGGCCAGCCTGAACTATATGGTCAGAGAGAGAGAGAGAGAGAGATTACATACAAAATCATGTTTTTAGTCTATCAGACAGCTGAAGTCACAAGTCAAGCAGATGAACTAAATTCCGTAGCGGGACACATGAATTGTCTCATCTTTGGGAGAGCATGAGAGGAAAAGGTCATAGCCATAAAGTGGTTAAGACAAAAACAAAATTAACAAAGCCTTAACAGGGCATGTGAAACAGCATGGAGTTTGCCTGCACTGAGCTCTCCTGGGTGCTCACGAGAAACGATGAGAGCAGGGCGGGATTTGAGGACAAAGCAAGAGAACCTGGAGAAGCCCATCCAAGTTCCAGGCCTCTAAACTGGAGTTCAAGTTAGGAAGAGCTGGGGGCTGGGGATTTAGGTCAGTGGCACAGCGCCTGCCTGGCAAGCGCAAGGTCGTATTGAGTTCGATTCCCGGTGCAGGGGGGAAAAACAAAACAAAACAAAACAAAGTTAGGAACAGTTGAAGCTAGGAACAAAAACCTACCTACACTACAGCTCTCCACTGATTTGAAGAAAAGCACCTACCAAGTAGGATGGGGCAAGAAATCTACTCATAGTTTGGATCTGACCCAGCTTTGATATGGGGCAATAGCTGTGTGCTCCTCACAGAGAAGCAGGAATTATGCTCCCCATAGATCCAGACAAAGCTTTGTCAGTTAGTACTTTGAAGGTGGAAGAAACTTATTTCCCCTAAGATATCCATCAACGCAAGGTCGAATTTGGAGAGAGGCAGGCAGGCTGTCTCTGTGCTCTAGCCCTAGCACGGACTGGGAAGCAGAGCCTGCCTCAGGGGGAAGCTCAGTTACACAGCACTTCCCTGTGATTGTGAGCAGGAGAGCTAGTAAGCCCATGCCCTGTTCCCAGCCAGGAGGCTGGCATCTAGTAACAGGTAGCAGCCAGCTACTGTTGGGAGAGAAGCTACAATGAGGAAAGAGACTCAAATTCTGCTGACATAGAGAACTCACTGAACTCTGAGAAATGGGAAGGAAAATAGAAAAAAATCCTTGCAGCACTTCAGACCTCACACTAAGAACATTATAGCAAACTAGACCACCACTGGAAGAATTTCAGTACAGCTCTGCACTGAAGAAAATCCAAGTCACCTTAAGTGCTGACTAGGTTGGCTCAAGTCATACATTAATACCCTGAAGGAAAAGGTGATTCTGATTATTGGGCATTTACTTCAGTCTCGGCATTCTTTATACATAATATCTTTATCCATAATGTCATAATATTTTTAAAAAAATAAGAGATGCCTGAAAAAGATAAAAGATCATGTGAAAAGATAAAATAGTCAACAAAACCGGACCCAGAGATGATCAGTGAGAGAATGAAGTCACCAGAGACTTGAAAGAAAGAAAAACGGAATAAAAAAGAACATCAGTATCAAAACAGTAGGCATGAGATTGACAGCTGACTTCTTAAACAAAATCCGGTGGGATGGGGGATCACCTTTAAACTTTGCAAGTAAAATAATTAACAACCTGGAATTAAATGTCTGCAGAAATGTAAGAGAATACCACCAGGAAAATACCACTGAGAGAATACACAGCAGCACTCCACTGAAAGATATCCTAAAGGAAGTTGGTTAGGCAAAAAGAAAATGATTCACAAGCAGAATCTGGGTCATATAAAAAGGAATGAGAGAAACAGGAAGGATAAATATGTGAGATAAAGGAGTATTGACTGTTTTCAAAAGTACAAAATACATGAAATAAAAAGTACATTTTGCTCAAAGCCAACATATCCATTATAATTGAAAGTCAGGTGACCATACCTGAGTAAATAAAGCATAAAACTGCGGAAAACATTTATCCAAATGGCCATCTACTCTATCAGCAGCATTCAGAATTGAGAAGCTCACTATTTCCTGAGGTAACCTACTCAATCTATAACTGTGTTACCAGTGCCTTTATTTTAACTGCAATCTGTAATCCTCTAATTTCTACCTTTTGGATCTAATTCTATCCCCTGTAATCACATGCAATAAATAGTGCTAGTCTCTCTCTCACACATGCTTGAAATAACTATAGTATCCTGCAGTTGTAATGGAAATATTTTATTCCATGGCCAAACATCCCCAGGCTAAATCATCCTGCGCATGGCATGGTTTAGTGCTCACCCACATAGAGAATATTCTAAATGAACTTAATTTTCTCTGTATTTCTCAAACACTTCCCCACTTATGAAATACAGTCCTGTGGTGAGGAGTATGTTCTTGGTTTTCCCCACTCTATGTGTGCTGCCATTATCTTTTCTAAGGGAAGAAAACCTGGCTATTTATTCATATAATTCCTAATTTTACCTCTGTGAAAATTTTACCCTCAACAGATGAGGACTTCTCTGCATTCCTCCAAATCTGTTATTCAGAGTATTAATCGAAAAATGGCACATAGAAATTGGCCAAAGAGAGTCTGTCCAGATAATGGACAGCACTATGGACTAAAACTGTGACCTGTCCAATGGTAACAAAGGCGAGGTCAGGATAATGGACATTGCGGACAGACATATTAATTGATTGCAGATGTGTGAGAGATAAGAGAGATAAGTCAATGGTGACTATGACTTTTCTATCCTAAATGACTAAGAAAATGAGAAAAATATGAAGTCATGAGGGGTACCTTGTTACTGAAAGAAATGCGATTTAATTTATATATGTTGGATATTCTTTAAATACCTTGTAGACAGGAATAGAAATTGTGAAAAAACACAGATGGACTTTGAAGGGTGGTTCAAGCCTTAAAAATAAGGGAAGAAACTGAAAGTGCCCTCTAGCCAAAGACCATCGGCAGCATATCTGTATCAAACAGGTTGAGTTTACTGCTCATTGCAAAGAAAGGAGACCACACACTGCAGGGACTGTGTGACACATCAGTAAGAGGTGCTAGAAAGGTCTTATTACAGGATTGGGGCTTGTGTTAGGTGGCTTGAGGGAGGCTTCAGAAAGTAGAACTTTAGATTGGAAACTGTCAGGATGCAAGGATAGTTCTACGGCTAGTACCTTCATGAATCTGAACCAGAGAAAGAAGACTAAAACAAAGCTAAAACTGCGAAGAAGTAACTGTTGCTCCTCTTGGTGGAGATGGGAAAATGTTTGCTATTTCTTTAAGGAAAATTTGAAAAACAATAGAAATGATACAGAATTTCAAAACAAGGTGTTAGGAAATTGACGATGGTTGTTATAATATTGTTATCTTGAAAGTAGTTGTTCGGATTAGTGAATCCTCACATCAGGAAAACAACAAGCACAAACAAACAACCTAATGCTGCACCTCAAGCTTCTAGAAAAAGAAGAGCAAATCAAGCTCAAAGCCCAAAGAAGGGAGGAAATTATAAAGATCAGAACAGAAATTAATGCAATGGAGACTAAAAAAAAAAAAAAATACAAAGAATTAATTAATCAAACAGTTGGTTCTTTGAATGAATAAATAAAATTGAAAATCCCCCATCCAACCTTATCAAGAAAAAGAAGCAAAAAACTCAAATTCATATTTGCTATTTTTGTGTTTTGCAGTTATGCTCAGACAACGTTATTAAGTTTTGTCTCGCTTGCTAGTTTTGTCTCACTTCTTCATGGTTATACAGTGGCCTCATCTACGCTGGTGTTTAGTAAAATTCTTCAGTGGATATATTTGTCTTTGAGGAGAGGCAGGGCTCTTTTTCCTACCAGATGCAATGGAGAATGTATTAGTATAGAAATAGAAATGATGACTTCAATTTAAGGTAATTGAAGAAATGGATGACTGGGAAAATCATTTTTTTTCTTCTTTTTCGGTGTAGTTAGGAACAAAATCAACTATCAAGGTTGAGAGAAAAGGAGACAAAAAAGCCTGGAGAAGTTTTAAATCATTGGGAAAAAGTGTTAGTGAACTAGGCAAAGATACTGTTATCTATTAATTGCCTATTCTATTAAAGAACAAAATGCAACTTTTGCTGTATATCATGAATTCATAAATTTACAGATCTGAGAGAGCCCTTTTACTCTTTATCTTTTCTAAAAAAAAAGCGTTCTGTGGTACCATTTTTTGTATGAGTGGAACAAAGTTTTTTCTTGGAATACTCACAAGTATTACTTGAGACAAATAATTTGTGACTTTTATTTTGGCTTTTGGCCTGCATCTTCCAAAGGAAAATGCTTAAGCAGAACATCAACCATGGACAATAGTCTTGCGGAAGGTGGACTTTCATAGTATCCACAGCAAAGAAAATTAATGCTTCCACCCACTGTCAGAATAATGGACTCCATACTCCCGCTTGCATTCTCTGTTTACGTGTATCTAAATAACTAGATGCCCTGCTCATTCCTGGAATTAGGTGTGATTGAAAGATAACTCACTTAGCAGCAGCCACAGCAGTAGCAGCTTCTGTGCATGCTGTAGCCCATGCTCTTGTGAGCATCAAAAGGAGATGAAGCCTGATTAACCATTTTGAAATCTATCGGATGAGGAGAAGTCCTTACAAAACAACTTTTATACGCTTTAATTAAAAACGTGTTCCGGCAGCTCAGAGCTGAATGGACTTCAGGGGGAGCAGGGCTGAGCCCGTTGCTATGACGACACCAAATCTTTTCACGCCTGGCCCTTCCTCAGCACACTCTGTCTAGCTCTCCCCAGCTAATTTGCTTCTGCCCCGTCTCTCACTCCTGCAGTCTCCTGGTCTTTGCAGCTATACGTGGCCCAAGACCTTTTGCTGTTTCTGCTATGAGGCATCTCCCTGGATCTGACTCCCTCGTCTTTTTGTTCCTTCCAATTCTCTGGCTGTCTGTTTCCTGTTTCTCTGGAAGTTACCATGCTGAATTTGAAATACTTTCTTTTTGTCAAAGCAAAGCACCGTTGTTACCTCTCGTGGTAAATTCAATTTTTAAAGTCTTGTGTGTAGTAGAAAAAAGTCTCACTCTGGTCCACAGTTTTCATATTTCAAACTGAGCACTGGTTACATTTCTCTTGTTGGTGCTGAAAAGGACTAAACTAGAAAAGGCTCTGTTTTACTCTGTTAAAGTGAATTTGCGCTTATTCTTAAAATTGCAGGTTATGCCACAAACAACATCAGCTTGTAACCTGTGAATGGACATACAGCTGTAAATATATGTTTAATACAAATCCTGAAAAAATCAGAACTTTATTTGAGAAACCTCTTTGAACAGTTACAAAATGTTCTTCTTGAGGCTGGGGATTTAGCTCAGTGGCACAACACCTGCCTGGCAAGCATGAGGTTGTGAGTTCAATTCCCAGTACCAAAAAAAAAAAAAAAAAGTTCTCCTCATATAGAAAATTAAATAAAACACTACACTATCAGCTATTATAGCATAGGAATCAAAAATTAGGTAGGACTGGACCCTCTCAGAACTCAATAGCCAAGTTGAGGGAAACAATGTCTTTGGAATCTTGTATTTAGTGAATTTTTATAGACTATAATATTGTTACACAACTTCTTAACGTTACGCTTTTAATCATCGAGGCCTTACGAACTTTCATGTTGATTACAATTCCCATTTTCCCTTTCACATTTTCTACTTTATGAGCCAGGTGAGTGGAATGCAGTGAGACTGTTTCTTACTTCCTCTCCCCACATAACTCACAATCCAGGACTATTTTTCCAATGTGAATTATTTGTCGGATGCAATAAGCTCTTCCTTTCTAATTGGCTGATTCATAGAAATGTAACTCAAGAGACAAATGTAGCCTGTGGGGTTAATTTAGTGGCAAGATGTTTTACACCATGAATATAGAGCTTCTCAATTATGTGGATGAACTCCAGAAGTAGGAGGACTTCAATTCTTGACACTTGAATGTCAGTTCTTGACATTCCCAGTCTGTACCTAGCTTGGGAGTATTCTGAGGAGATCAGTCTTGTAGATGAGTGAACTAGGAGACATAATAGATCTTTTGCATCACCATTTTCTACAGCCCCATAATTCAGTCAATCTCAAGGCTAAAGTGTGCTTTACAGATGTACTTTGGTGAACACTGCATTCTCATTTCTACTGAAGTGCTTTACATCTTCTTGCTTCACAATTCTGCTCCAAGGCCAAAGATATCAACATGAAAAACAGCACCTTTGGTTTAGCAATTCATCCGTTCCCATCCTACAGTGGTCTGCTCAGCTGAGTTCACATAATCCTGTATGTGTGCTCCGACACTAGATGAAATGTTTATGTGATAAACCACAGGACTGTCCTGTGGCTTCTGTGGTCTGGTGAATATATGTCAGCATTAAAGCTCTTTTGCTGGTTTTGATTTGTTCTTTTTTAGGAACTGGTTCTTGTACTGGGTCCAGGTTTCATGGTTATTGTGATATACTCAAAATATTATGAAGAGTGATTTGCAAATAGCTATACTACATATAATTTATTCCAATCATAAACAAGATGTTGAGCTCTTATGTGAATTGTTAATATGGGAAATTGAAATCTCTACCATTTTTACCTGGTATAAGTGTCTTTCTCTCCCCATCAGTCTAAGCTTGGATAATGAATATGCGAAGGAGGTCCAGCAGTCCATCAGATGTGGAATTTGTGTGCCGCAATTCAAGACAAAGATTAAACTTCCACTTGATGTTGCAAAAGGCATTTTATGCAAGGTAATTGAAGTAAGTCACTACACTCTAATGAACCAGTCACCAAGATTAAAACTTAGCTTTTCTATGAGATAATAAAAAGTAGGCTAAGAGTTCAGAAGAGAAGTCACTTTTTAAAAGTAACTTGTAGTCTGGAGTTTAAAACTCATCTGAAGAAGAGAATTTCCCAGACTTGTGCATCAGACTTTCAAAATATCTGCAAGGCAAACGTTTTACATTTTCTAGAGGTAAATAAAGAAAGAAAAGAGAAGAAAGAGGAAGGAAGAATTGAAGCCTAACTCTTACCTACCACAGTTGGAATTGCTTTCCCCCTCCTTCCAGTACTTAGGAAGGGTGTGGTCAGAGGTCCATGAAGTAAATTTGTAAAGGTTACTCTCCTTTATGAGGAAAGGAATTGAATAAAATCACTGCGTCTCTCATGAGAGCAATACCTAGCCACATGAGTTAAATCTGAGACACTTTTCTAGATTTCCCCCAATTTATTGCTCCCTTGTTGCAGGAACTGTCTTGTAGATAAGAGGCTCTTGTGAATGTTCCTCTAAACCAGTGTGTCTGTTCGTCTTTCTGTGAATATGTATTCACAGATATATAGACACAGATGTTTCACCTATCACGGGTACGGGCTCTAGTTCCTTTACAGAAAGGTGAAGCACCCAGCTTGCAGGTTGGGATCATCATACGAACTGGTGAGGAGAGACCAATCCACAGTTGCGACCACAGAGTATCTGCACTTGTTACTCTTGTGAGGAAAAGAAAAAGTACTTTAGATTCTGTGTTTATTATTATTCTTTGTATGACTGAAATGAAAGTGCAGCACATACTTTCCCCAGCAACGGTGAGCGGGAAAGTAGGACTGTGCAAGAAACATGCTGTGCTGACCTGCACTGGTATTGTAGACACCAAGCCATCTATCTATCTATGCAAAAATATACGATCAGGTTTCATTCATTTCTCTCTCTCTCTCTCTCTCTCTCTCACTCTCTCACACACACACACACACACACACACACACACACACAGGTCAAGGCGTCTGACTCTTGATAATGCCTGCTTTAGTCAGTTTTCACCTCCGGGCACTGTGGCGAGCAGAGAAGCAGGGGCTGGAGGTGGCTGGAAGGGCAGGAATGGCAGCGGGAACCCAGGAGGAAGCACTTGAACCACGTCGCCCTCGTGGGCAGTGCCCCAGGGCCAGAGGAGGAGGTGGATCACGCCCAGAGCCCGGACCTCTGCATCCGGATGCGATACAGGGTGTCGGGCCATCCGGCCCAAGTACCTGGGTCTCCTTTCGGCGATAGCTGGCGTGAAAGCGCGTGGGAAGAGCCTCAGCAGAGGGGCCCCGGCTTATCGGTGCTAGGTTGAAAGTCAAGCTGGCTTCCAGCCGAAGTAGGCAGCCAGATGCGCTCACGGGGGCGCGGGGCGGCCCTTGTGCCCAGCGTGCCCGGGACGCCCAGCAGCTGGAAACCGGGAAAGGGGAGAGTAAACACCCAGCCCGCGGCCGCCCTCGGGGATGGTTGCAAAGGGGGAAAGGAAGAAGAAATCAAACCACAGTGCCGCCCTGCCCTCCCCACGGCCTCCGCGGGGGGCTCCCCGCGCCCAGGGGCGCAGCTCTGGGGTCCGGAGGGTCGGGACTGCGCCTCGGTGCGCGTGCCCGCGAGCGCCTCACCCCCCCACCCCGCTGGCCGGGCCCCTCGGGCGGGATAGAGCCCTGCTTTGCTCTTTTCGTTGGCCAAGCACAATTGTGTTATTGGAGATAATGAATTCAATCCCCATCAAAGGGCATTAGGCTCGCCCGGGCCTTGGAGTTGCTGATGCCTTTTTTTTTTTTTTAACTAGAAATGAAAGGCTGAAGAGGGGAAAAAATTCTCTGGGGGGAGCCTTTCCCCTGATCGCTGCTTTTGAAGTGAAGGGGCCCGGGCATTGTTGTTCACCTCGCGGCCCATACGGCTGAAGAAAGCCCTGGCTTTTGATGCGCTGAGAACCGCCCGGGCCCTGAGCACCACGTCGGGCCGCGGGCTGCGGGCAGCATATGTCTCGGGCGCCCGGGCAGCGTCTGGCGGGGAGGAGCTCGCCCCGGGAGAGGACCCAGGCCGGCGTCGGGCGCCGGGGCCCTCGGGCCTCGAGCTGGATCTGCAGCTCCTCCAGCCCACTTGGAGAAGTAGCGCAGGGCCTCTGCCAGTGCTTGATGGGTTAAGATCTCAGACCCGGAGCCACATAGCCCTTTGGGGTGAGGATGGGCAAAACAAGAGTCTCGGTAAGGGCAACAGGCCCAGCTGCTCGGAAGGCTTTCTTCTCATCCCCTGGGACCCAGCCCCGAAGGCGCCTGGCCTAGGTAGAGCTTGAGGAGTCCACGAAGGCGCGCGCTTCAGGGCGGGCGTCTGCGAACCCGGGACGGACCCCGCGGGCACGCGGTGGGGAGGGCGCGGGAGGCGACCGCTCGGCAGCAGGCGTGGCCAGCTCGGCCACACTCAGTTTCTCCAGCGCCCTAAGCGCTTGCCGCGCGGCTCTGAGCCTAGGGCGGCGCGTTAGCCTCGGGTCACCTTTTGGAAAACTTGTTGCAGGCAATGAAGTTTACTTTCAATGCCCAACACGAACTCTTCTCACTCCGGTTCGTTCCCCTCTATCCGCTTCCCCGGGCTGCCTCTGAGCTCTTTGGCCCAAGGGTCAGCAAACCAGTATAGTTCGGTTCCTTCCCCGCCCTCCGTACCTCCAACCCCCCTCTCGGAAGGATCCGGGTTGTCTGCCCCATTAATATATTAGCCGGCGTGACACAAAGGAAGCGCGTGTCGGCAGAAGGCGGTGTGACTCCAGGGAGAGGAGAGGAGACCTGGGCCGTCCCCTGCGCTACCACACGGGTCACTGCGGTCTGAGCTGCTAATTTGGCCTCCACCGGGGAGAAGCTGCGGAGGACCCAGCAGGAGTTACCGCTGCTCGCCGAACGGCTACTGGGTGGGGCGTTTGTAACTGGGGAGCAGGAATGAAGCTCAAGTCTCCAAGGTGGGACCCAGAGCGGGGGTAACGTTCCAGAATCCCCCAGTCGCCTCCATTAGGCAAGGAAAACCAGCTCCCCAGGAGGACAGCAGTAGGTGGACACCCACTTCCCCCCTTGAGTATAATGGGCCCTTAAAATTAAACATTTAACGAAAACCAACCACCGCAAAGCCCCTGAAGGTCTTCTCATTAAATTTTTTGTGTGTTTTAAAATAACAATCCCTTGGGGTAAGAAAAGGGGGAGGAAACTGCCCCCAGAACATGATTAGACAAGCAAAGGAGTAAGATTTTAAAGGAGGGGGAGGCAAAGAAAACTAGGAAGATTTCCACTTTACTTCATTGTTCCCTACTTCCAGTCAATGCTTGGGGGGATTTCCAGGTTGGTTTTCTAAGTTTCAGAGGGGTGGAAAAGCCCCTACTGTGTAATCCTCAAGAAGAGTGGAGGGAAGTAGAAAGATAACCTCCCACTTAGAACTGTCAGGATGTCAAAGGCCAGGTTCTGAACTTGATTTCGCCAGTGACTTCACCAGTATCCCACCTGGATTCTAAGTCTGTGAGCACAATTCCACTAAAGCCCGTTCTTCCCGGATGTGGAGGGTCAGCATCCTGTACTCTGTTAACTGGAAGACAGAGAGCCTCAGACTGCCAGGAGGTGGTGACTACAGTCAGCAAAGGAGCGGTTCAGCGGGGAGGGAAGATCTCTCTCACCGGGCCCTGGCTGTCCCGCTGGTGTAGCCACAGCTGTCCGAACTGGAGGCGAGAAGTTAGGCAGAAAAAGAACGGCAGCCAGAGCTTGGGTTGTAAAAAAATGTTTTTCATAGGAACATGCATGGATTTTACAAGTTAAAATAGAAGTGTGCCGGCATTCTCTAGCCCCACAATTCTGCTAGAATGAGGGCTGGAGAAAGGGGGAGGGGAGGCGAGGGAAGCACCGGCTGGGCAAAGTTCAACTAACCAAGCTGGGTTGGAAGCTAAAAAGAGAAACACCGATGGGACCATTATGTCTCAAACATAACTACTGGGAAAAAAGAAACCCAAGTTTCAAAGTAATCTGTTGCTAAATGTTATGTGGATTCACAACATAGCATCATAAGTGAAAAATAAAATTTGAGCCTGGCTACTTTAAGAAATCTTGTATCTCCCCAAGTACATTCTATTTCTAAACAGGGAGGTTGTAAAATCTTCCAAGTTATTTCAATTTTTTACATTCTTATCTCCCTGAATATCTATCGAGGCTAACTGTTCTTTCACTTTAGGAAAATTTTTATTTTTAAAATTCTACATAATTTGATTACCTGTTTAGTTCAAGGTTGCTTAAAACTTATCCCCCTTTTGCACATAATTATCTGGAAGTAATGAGGCATTCTTCTAGCTGCATTTGGTTGCAAAACACAATTACCACAATTCAAGTAAACGACTAACATTTAATTCTTGAAGACAAAATGTTATGTTACAAATTTATGAAATATCAAATAATTGAAGCAATTTTACTTTTTCAATGAGGTTTTTTTTCCTCGTGACATAGAGAGGTATCACATTAAAATACATTATAGCTAAATGTTCTACAATATTACTGCTAAATCAACAGAAAACCAATTGATCTGAGGAAAGGTTAATTAATTTGGGCTCCAGGTCTCCTACTTTGGTCCGCATTGAAAGGAATTTGTATTGATCGCGGCAGTTTTTGCCAAGAAATTTAATAAGCATTTTCATGGAACTGAGATCAATTTTTGAAAGGGTAAAACAACAAGGTTTTAGAATTTTATCACTCCAGGAATCCTTTTCTGATATGGTTAAATAAACTCTATTAAGACTTTTGAGAAAAATAATATTTTACACGTTCAGCGAAATCAATCACGTATGTAGTCTTCTGAAAATGAACACAAAAGTTATTAACTTTAATAGGATTTTGTTTTCATCTCGTAATAATTCTCGCCAGTTTATTCTGCCGTGTGGGGATTCACCAAGGGACATTCACCAAGGGACAAGGGAAATGAAACTTTATCTTTGATTTCAATACTGTGTCAGCTATCTTGTAGAAAACGGACGGGGTTGCTTTCTGCTTGCGAACACTTCTGAGATGCTTAGTTTCTGATGAATCAAACTGGTGAGGTTTTCTTCTCTTCTATCTTTATTTTTTTTTTTAAATTACATTAAAAATGTCTCAGACCTGCACATCCGCACGCAAGGTGAAAGTAACACAATCGAAATTCCTCTCCCTCACACTGTGTTCACTCCCAAAACAGGTGCCCCCCTCTCCTGGAAGTGTTTGCCCAGCGGCGTCGCCCGCGGAGCCGCGGCCCCGGGCGCTTTTCGCTCGGTCGCGGGAAGGTTCTCTCCTCCCCACCCCTCCCCCACCGCGGGCAAATTCCTAAAAGGAAGGAGCCGGGAGCACCCCCTTTCCGCCCCTGTCCGCGGGTGCGTCCGAGGTGCTGTCTGGGGACAGTGAGCCCCAAGCGGGAGGGGCGGGCTGGGATCGCGCTCTGGAGGGTCCCTGTCCCCGCTCCGGGCCACAGATGTTTTCCTCCTGGCCCCGGGGCGCGGCGCCCCGGCTGCGGGCGCCCCGGCGTTTGTGTGTGGCGGCTTCCGAGGAAGGGATTACGCAGCGGGAGCGGCCGGCGACGCAGGCTGCGGGGCCGCAGGACGGTAACAAGGCGCCCGGCCTTCTTTGTTGACTTTTAGGTCTGCGGCTCAACAGAAGATTTATTCGCTAGGAGGGGAAAATGCCCACACAATGAAGAACTAACTGCACTTGTCACCTCGAGATGCTTGCGGTTCTGCTCTCCCCCCTCTGCTCCCGGGAGCCGGCTGCCCCGGCCTCCAACACGACCTCGTGGGGACGCGCGGGGCGCAGAGCGCAGCGCCCAGAGGCGCAGAGGGAGCGGTCTGAGCCTTAGGAGAAGCTCTCCAGGCCGGGAGGTTTCCAAAGCGGCCTCGGCCGTAAACCTGGGGCACCTCGCCTCCCCTCACCCGCAAACCCAGAAAACAAAATCTCCGCCAAGTAAAAGAGCAAGCGATGAGACCGATTTAACCGGGTGGGTGGAGGTAGCACGCTGGCACCGTCTAGAGTGACCAAGAGGAGGGCGACGCCGCCGACGGACGCACAGCGCCAAAGCCAGGCGCTTGTTAGTCCGCGGGTCCGGGGCAAGGCCGAGGCCCAAGCACATGCGTCTATATTGCATTTGGAATTCGAATGTGCCCATGTTTACCTGCTATGGAACTAGGAATACCTGTACAGACTGGAAGCTTTTTCCTCTCGGGATTTTTAACGACTTTACGAGGCCTCCAAATTAAGTTTTGAAATGACTCTACGCAGTCGTTTCTCTTCCCTCCTTCTTCCAGCAGTGGGAGTGGAGATTTCTGGATTTTTCTCAAGTGTTACAGGGCACTCCTTCTCTAGCCTGGGAGGCAATTACGCGATAATTAAGCGACTCGCACAGCTCCTTTTATCTTGTCCGCAGTGTGGAGTGGCGCGATCAAAGTAAAGGCTGTCCAAGTTCAAGCCCTGGTGAGGACGGAGTTCATACCCAGGGCTCGGGCAGGGCAGCCTCTGCTTGGGCTGGTGTTGTTATTGTTGATGTCAATCCGGACAAGACTTACAAAGAAATAGGTGGCCTGGAAAGTGAGCCTGCTATCAAAGGAGATTAATGATTTTGTGATCCCAAGCAACTATGGGGGGGGGTGTGTGAAGTTGCGTTACAAAGCCTCTTAGAAGGCAAACAAATCATCAGCTTTAGGTTTGTAGGACAATGTTTTTAGAAACAATATTTTAAAAAACACCGTCACAAAATAGCAGCTACCCTGAAATGTCCTGGGGGCACACAGCTCCTCTGCAGGCGTGAATTAACTCTCCTCCCTCCAAAGCTACCAGGAGGGCTTAGTTTCGTGTCTCTTTTCACAAGAGAGGGTTCAGGAGTCTTTGTGGTAGACAACTTAATTTTATCAGCCACAGCTGATATTTTATTTACTCGAATACTTCTCTGATAAAGAACGACAGTATTTTGGGGGAGAGGAGATAATTAATAATATTTGATTTCATCGTGGAAAAACTCAGAATAATAATGGCTTAAGGCCATGCCTAAAATGAAGTAAACGGTTCAAGGAATAAAGAGTGTTTTAACTTGTCAATTCTTGGAATATTAAGGCAATTTATCTCTCCACTTGGGTAGTTTTCATTGCTTTTTATTAGCTACATGTTCATTTAAATCATAGACAAAGCAGTTTTGTCTTAGACTACTTTCTTGTTTGTCATTTCTATCAAGTTCCACAATTTACAAAATATTAAATTCAGGAGATCCTTTTTTGGATTTAATTAAGCGAAGGAAAATAACAGAAATCCTTTTTTTGTTAACATTTGATTTATTTAAAGTTCTTAACTGCAAATGATCAAGAACATATTTCACGGCTTAAAATCTTGTATTATTTTTGTTATCTAAATCAAAATATTTTAATTACAATCACATTGGTAGAAATTAACATTGTAATTTGTAATATTAACCATCATTAAAGCAATTTTAGCTGTAAAGGAAAAGAATAAACCATGCAATAAATTAACATTGGGAAGGCAAAAAGGAATAGTAAGGAAACCCGTCTGTCTATACTAACACCATGTGGAAAGTGCATCTTCAACACTGGATGAAACAAGCACACCATGGCAATAATTAAAACGGCCACAATCGATAGGATCTGGGACTCCTGGACCAAATTTTGAGAAAGAACTCTCAATAACATCTCTCTGCCCCAACTAGGTGATATTCCTTCTTGTCTGGGGGAAAACAACCCTTTAAATGGTATACATGCACAAAAACTACTTAAAGTGACCTCAGAATGGCATGACCATGGCACGCTGCAAAGCAAGGGGCAGAATTCTTGAGGGGGGCAATTCCTGGGAAGAGATTCCCAGGACCATAAGTGGACAGGAAGGACAAGGGGAGGGTGCTTGTAACTTCTTGGTCAGGCAACTCTTGAAAAATGTACCATGTGTATCACCTACCTATTACCTCTACCATTATGCAAATGCACGGAGGATGTCTACATATCTGAGCATAATTAAGTCCATGTACAACACATGTGTGCTTCATGTGAAGACCTCTGCTGAATGTATCAGAAATGTAAGCTGAAAAACAAATGGCTCTGATGTTTGTAATCTGTTTATGTCTTGCTGCACAGCCTCAGTACTTTCTTTTGATACTTTGAAGGGCCCCCAATGTCTACTTGTGTCTTCACTGTCTCAATTCTTATGGTTAAGAATATTGCCACAGACCTGTAAACTCATGTAGTGGGGTCAGGTGAGGAGGGAAAAAAAACCACAAACATATATTTTACAAACCTACCTCTTTCTTTCTTTCTTTCTTTCTTTCTTTCTTTCTTTCTTTCTTTCTTTCTTTCTTTCTTTCTCTCTCTCTCTCTTTTAAATAAACCCTGCGTGGACTAGAATGGGTCTGAGGGGAAGACAGGGACGAACACGGAAGGAGGAAGATTATATATATATACAACTGTGGATTATTAAACTTCGCAGGAAAAATTGGTGCGGGATCGGTTGTCTTTGTAATAATATGCACAGAGAGTTTTGAATACAATAATAAAAGTAACAGTCCTTTGCACTGGGGAAAATTTGTGCATGAAAAAAAAAGTTGGGGTTTTACTATGCTGTTGCTGGTTTGGTATGAGTGGTTTCGTTTGCTGATTTTTTTTTTCCTCTCTCTCTCTCTCTCTCAATCTCTCTCCTGCTACCAGCATGGTCATGAAGACAAACCCTCAGTTCCGGGAGCTAGGAAGTGTTTAGGACGGGTCTGGAATACACACCTTGGTAGTAGGCCGGCTCCAGGGCTGAGGGCTCGATGGGGTTCCTGGCGGCCACTGACGCGCTGCCCAGAGGCAGGCTGGCGGGCAAGGTGGCGCCGTAGGGCGAGTACTGCAGCGCTTGCTCGTACGCCTTGAAGTCCAGCTTGTGCTGCTGCTCCGAGGAGGACATGAGGTTGTTGATGGAGAAGGGGTGGTTGAAGGAGTAGTGGGGGTCCCCTTTCAGGTGCATCTGGGACTCGTGGGGGGCCAGGCCGTGCGCCGGGTGAGACGGGGGCACAGACGCCAGCGCCCCGGGCCCAGAGCTTATGGGGGGCGCCGTGGAGGAGGCTGGAGTCTTTAACTCCGAGGCGCCCCCTGTCGCCGTCGCCCCGCTGTGGTCCAGAGTCTGGGGGCTGGCGGCGGGCCCGGCGGCCGGCGCGCCCTCTAGCTGGCTCGCCTTGGCGTGCACGGCCCGGTGGAGGGGCGACTCGGCGCTGGGGTTCCCGGTGCCCGAGGGGTCCTTGCGGCCTTCGGGGCCGCCCTTGGAGCCGCCCCCGCTCCCGCCCCCGCCGGCGGCCCCGGGCTGCTTCTCGCACTTGAAGCGCTTCTGGCGGCGCAGGTAGCAGCCGTTCTCGAACATGTTGCCCGAGTCCGGGTGCAGCGTCCAGTAGGAGCCCTTGCCCGGCTTGTCCGGGGAGCGCGCCACCTTGACGAAGCAGTCGTTGAAGGACAGCGAGTGGCGGATGGAGTTCTGCCAGCGCTGCTGGTTCTGCCGGTAATAGGGGAAGAGGTCCATGATCCACTGGTAGATCTCGCTCAGCGTGAGCATCTTGCTGGGCGCCTGCTGTATGGCCATGGTGATGAGCGAGATGTAGGAGTAGGGCGGCTTGGCGTGCGGGTAGCTGCGCTTGAAGGTCTTGGCGTCGCCCCCGCCGCCCGCGCGGCTGCGGCCCAGGTTGGACGGCGCGTACGCCATGGGGCTCATGCACGGGTTCATGGCCGCGTAGGGGCCCAGGCCGTTCATGGAGGCCGCGGGCTGCGCGCCCATGGCGCCCATGCCGCCCGGGCTCAGCGCCGTGCCCATGGCCGTCACGCCCGCCGCCGTCATGCTGTTCATGGCGCCCGCGGAGCCTCCGGGCATGCCGGCCACCGCGCCGGGACTCAGGCCGGCGCCCAGGCCCGGGTTGGCATAGGACATGTTGAAGGAGGCCGGCGTCATGTTGCCGCTCGTGGTCATGGTGTTCATGGTCATGTAGGTGTTCATGGAGTTCATGGAGCCCAGGCTGGAGTTCATGTTGCTGACCGGGACGGAAGAGTAGGCCTGGAGCGGGACACGGAGGGAAGAGGCCCCGAAGGGCGGGGTTAGCGGTGGGCACAGGAGGGTGGCGGCCCCAGGCAGCCCCGGACCGGCAGAGAACATTTCCGAAAAGCAAGGATCACCCTGCTCCCCCCGCCGCAGCCCTCCCAGGACAAGCTGTGAGGCGCCCTTTCCAGCCCCAGCAAAGCTGTCTTGCACGGCAGGGGGAAAATCCTAGCTCCACAGGCTTGAAAGACAAGCGCCCCCATGAAACAGGTCCCCGAGAGGGTGTGTAATCGCCTTACACGCCAGCTCAGGGCCCCTTTACGACCTCCTCTCTCCATGCCAGCCAAGATCCCGCGTCTCCACGCCAGACCAGCCTAGGCTAAGCGCCCTCCGGGACAAATCGTGGTTAAAACTCCAGAACAGAATTAACCTCTGACTCTTGGCTCCTTCACCCTAAAGGGGCAGTGGGGTCCTCTGAGCAACAGGGTGCCCGCTCTACGCCCACCTGGCCTGATGCAGGTAGATGCCCAGGACGCAGGAAACTCCACTGGACAGAGCAAAACTCACCCGGCCACTTGCCCCGACCCCCAGCAATACAGCGTTCATTTCTGAACAACTGGCTTTATTGTCTCCGGAGTTTTTATTAAACGATGACTCTTTGTCCTTTATTACATTTAGAAGTAGCACTTTCCACCAATTAGTACCCACGGTAATGTTAAAAAGGAAGTGAACTCAGAAGTTAGCAAGTTTTGGGAAAACCCCTAAAAACAGATTAACAAAAGGGACTTGGAAGGGTGCACGAAATTGTCAGTGCACTGAATAAAATTTAACAGGACTTTACATGTACACCTCTGCAAAACCGTTCAAAACGCAACATTAATTTTATTTACCCATTTTCAGTTCCCTAATGTTTGAAAATTTTGGTGACACGATTTGTCACAATAATCAATTTTTCCTTATGTGCTGATAATGCTGCCGCTGATCATTTCAAAGCCTGGCCTTTTAACTACGTGAGTAGCTTTGAATAATTCCCATTTTCGAAATCAGATTCGACTTACTTTCTCCTAATGCTATTCTACTTCCTAATTCTCAGTTTTAAATGAGGAAGAAACCTCTTTCCACAGGGGTCTGAACTGAGAAGACTGCATCAGAATTAAACCCCTGCACGAGTTCTGAGGTCCCTTTAAAAATCATTAGCAAGTGAAAACCCTTCTCGATAGCAATTTGGGAATGCATCATGTATTTTAAAAATACGGAGCCCAGAAATAGTAAAAACTACTTTTCTGATAATTAAGTAAAGAAAAAAGATATCTTAAATTTATGATCATCAGCAAATATCATTTCATTTTTCAAAATAAGAGGTGGGCAAATAGATTCAAATATGAACACCCTGTAAGCTACGGTGTGTACACTCATGGATGAATTTGTGAATATATGATTCTAAGTAAGTGAATTGTCATGAAAATATTTCCTGGTTCTGTACTTTTTTTTTCTACCCGCCTCCTTCACGCGGCGGAGTTTATTTTACTCTGGAGTTTATTTTTCCCTCTTCTTCCCAAGGCCATTTTAATACACGTTTTCAATAACAGTAACTAAACTTTTATAGGGTAATCCTGTTTCCAGGAAAAAATGGTGGTGGTCCTGTCTGGACCCGGTTTTCCCCGCAATCCTTTTGTGCACATTGTAAAATAAACCCGGTGAACGTGCCACTGAGGGGACAATGAAGAGAAACAGGTTCTTGCCCCCGACTTCTGGAAAAAGATTCTGCTCCCGCCAGCGCCACCCAGCGGTGCTCGAGAAGAAGGCGCACACTTCTCCCCAAACAGGGCTTTTGAAGAACAAGTTTTATAAAATTTAGGAATGGGCTGGTTATCCAGAGGCTCAACTTGGCGGCGGAGCGCCTTCATCAGAGGCCGCCTGCGAATTAAACGGCGGGACTCAGAGGCCGCCCGGCCGGCGAGCTCCGGCTCTCGCGGAGTTGCTTCCAACCCGCGCCACCGCCCGCCGCCCACCCGCGGCCCCGGGGCTCGGCTGGGGCTCCGGCTCCGCTCGCAGGGCAGAAGCAAGCAC